CGCCGAAAGCGGCCTCGACGGATTCGTGGAGACCACGGAGAACGCGATCGAGCTTTCATCGCACGCGGTGCTCATTCATAACCTTGGACTTCGGGGATGCGTGGTGGCGTGGATGGGATGGGATCGAACCTCAAAGAAATGGTCGTCTCGAGGGCGCCTGGCTGAGGTCGCCTGGACTTCAAGATTCGACCTAATGGTGAAACAATCAAGCCTAGTCACCGTCACGAGGCTTGAAAGAAAGGATTATTGAAGGCCCTCGGATATTTATGGAAAGGGATGGGGATGGGTGTAATGGATAAATCTGTTTATCTTTTTTTATATATTTGCATGAAACCTAGACGAAGCGACGTCGATCAATAAATCAGCCTTAAAACCGAGAGTTCTAAACACGCTAAGCGACTGTGTAAAAAAAAAAAAGAAACTAACATGTAGTTAATGGAAAATATCAACGATTAAAACCTGAATTTCACTGTCAAAAAAATATAGAGGCATTCCGATCTCTTTCCTCTACATATTCCTTGTACAGACACACAGACACACATTTTTTTTTTTTAGGTAATAGATAGACAAAAACGCAAACTCTATCTTTCCGATCGGTAATTTGCATCATGGGATAAAAAATGGCCACATATTTTAAAATACAGTTAGTAATTATTACAATAATGAAATGAGGTAATACTCAAAATGAGTGCACACATGTCACACCAGTATAACCCCAGGCTTAGCTATGAATGATAATAATAATGATAATGCCACTTACAAATACAGGAAGCTTATAATTCAATCTTTTGTGCTCGGTATTATGCTTCCTTCTCTTGCCATTGGTGTATATATTTATTAAAATTTTTCCCAGCGAATAACATGTTCCGGTGCAAAGCGTGGTGAAAAAACCGACCTCCGTCTGTTATTAGATTTTGCTTCACCCTCCGGTTTACGCTCTTCATTTGTAGGGGATGGCACGGCATAGCCAACGCTCACAATAATCGGAATGGTAAATCGACTGGGCAGCCCCACCACCTCCCGCATCGCCTCCTCGTCTATTCCTTCCATAATACACGTATTCAACCCGGCGGCCGTGCACAAATGCACAAACGTCGTCGCGGGGATCATCGTCTGCTTCCACGCGTAGCCTTTCATGGAAATGGGCACCGAAAGAAGCGGATTGCTCGTGAGCCTGCTGTAGTAGCTTGACAGCATGGACTTCGTGAGCGCCATGGCCTGAAGGGGCCCACCGTGGAGAAAGTAGTACACATTGCGAAGAAACGCCGGCGCGTAGTCCTCGGTCATGTAGCCGCTTTCCAGGCCCATTTCGAGAACCTGCGGGGCGTTGCGCTCGGCCTCCATATCCCCCGCGAAGACCACCGTCAAGGGGGCTTGGCGAACCTGGGGCTGGCCGAGCGCCGCCGCGCACAAGGCCTCCCGCCGCGCCGCGTCCTGGACGACAATCGCATGCCAGGGCTGGAGATTGTACCCCGTGGGGGCCCGCATCGTCGTGGTGAGAAGCCGCCGAATGAGCGGGCCGTCGACCGGGCGGGTTTCATCGAAATGCCGGCACGTCCATCGCGCCTGGATCACCGACTCCACGTTCGTCAAGACGCGATCGTCAAAGGGGTGCAGCCCAGGGCCTGTCCCGGGCGTTTTGCCACCCGGCGGCGGGGTCTTCGAAGCGTCCGTGGGCGGGTTACTTTTGGGGGGAAAACCGCTGCCGGTGGAGGCCGTTTTCAAGGGGGTTGGAACCGCCGGATTATCCTCTTGGCTCATCCTAAAATGCGATTTTTGGGATGCAAAAAACCGTAAACTGTGCAAAATAGGATTGCGAAGGATTGGAATCATGGAATCTTCTAAAGCTTTGAGGGTCCATAAAAAGTGAAAGATAGAGATAAATAATAGATGAAGTGAACTAATTGAACGGCGCTAAATATTGATAGGGGACATTATAAAAATAAAATAAAAACTGTCCCCAATGAAAATACATTGCCCATGCTATCACTTTTCCCCAATCCCCTTAGAATTGACAAAGGGGTAGAAACTCTCTACATAGGGTTCGTCCATATTTACATTTCAATGAAAGGAACACTAGGCTGCTTGAAAATATACAAGATATTTAGCCATAAATGCGCTCCATTCATCACTCCAAACCCCCCCCCTAGCCATGGGAAGACTTGCAAACTCCTTCCTTGAACCAATGGGGCTGATCATCTGGGCTATTTAACAGTGCTCACACGCAGAAGTGCCGAAGCGGCCACGGTATCGCCTCTCTCCCCCGCAAGGAGTAGAGCCGTGCGGCCATGCCCATCCTCCAGATGCATATACGCCGCCCAATCAGAGACCATGATGCTCTTACTCCGTGAATGCCCAAAGCTGGCGCCTTTATTGGCGGCGCCTTCGCTAGACAGCGATCCCAACTGCATCGGCACCGAGGGGCAACTAAAGAAAGGCGAATGGGCGATGAATTGCTCAACTTCGGAAGTGATAGAGCCGCCGCGGCGATGCCATGCTCCCTTGTCCCTTTTCTCGAGAACCTCATGGGTCCATGAAACCGGGGTCGTGGGAAATCCCTCGAGGGGGTGTGGGATGGACGCGCGAACGGCACGCGCGACGGCCTCGATGACCGCGCCGATCGCGGCGCGGGTTTCGCCTGGGGCCCCGTCGATCTCGCTCCCCTCTGGACTCCCAGTGGAATCGCGCGAAACGCGCCTCATGCCCGGGTCGAGGTACCCATAGCAGCTGCCGGACACGCAGTCGTGAAGGGGTGTATTGCCGTGTGCGTCGACCACGAAAACGGCCTCCGGGTCCACCTCCAGCAGGGCGTGGACCGCCTCGTAAAAATGTGCCCGACAGGCCGCATGGAGCGGTCGCCGACCTTCAAAATCGCCCATTCGGCACATCGTTTGGGAGAGTTCGCGGCCGACGGCCCTGGAGCCCCCATTGCTAGTTCGTCCCTCGTCCTTCCGGGAGCTCCTGGAGCCCGCCTCGGAGGACGGCAGGGCCAAAATACGCAATAACGTGGGCAATACCGAACGCTGTCGGGCTCGGTCGGCGTGCGCGCAGAGATAGTGCAAAGGCGTGCGAAGCTTCGCGTCCGTCATCAGCAGGGTATTCCCAATGGCAAGAGGGACATCGGTGAAGTGGAAAATCTTGGGAGTCCGGCCCGTCGACGTTAACGTTGTGGGCGTGGTGCGGGACATGCCATGGTCAATGGGCATCGTGAGATCGTCCCCCCCCCCGGCGTTCATCCCGGGCATCTCATTCACGGAGGCGGAAAAGCCATCCAGCCCATCCGAAAACCTCTCCAGCGGTTGATGTTGTCGGCTAAGGCGCCGCTGCCGACGTATTGAGGATGAACCCGCAAAAGCGGCTTCGCCCGCCGCGTTAGGATTGTCGGCGTGAAACGTGTTGGGCGTCGTCTCCGACCCAAAATATCGCCACTCCATCGAGGCCGAGTCACTCCCCTGACTCCGCATGCTTGTCAGGATGTTTGAATACGTGCCATTCGCGCGACTAGTGCTATCCTTCTCCAAATCACCAAATAATAGTTTGAAAACTCGAGGTGGCAGGCCAAGCTCGGCGGCGATGTGAAACTGCGTCTGAAGTGTAATAAAGCTCTGCATGCTAGGCTGCGCGCCATACTTGAGTAGCATGGAAATGATTTCCAAGGTCGCCTCAAACTTTGACGAAGGCCCCAACTCGGAGTCGTCCTTCCGTGTGCAGGGCGTATTCCCCGTCAGCTGGGCCGACCTCCGGGGCTGCTCCTCGAAATTCATATCCTTCAGCGAAAGCAACGCGCGGAAAAGCGGGGTGCAGTGCTCGTCGTCCAGCTCGTCGGGATCGGCATAGCAATCGAGCATCAGCTGGACATAAACCGGGTTGGCTTGCGCCACCGCCAGGTGGAGAAGCGAGCCGCCGGTGAGCAGCCCGCTTGGGCGGGCCAGCGAGGCGCCGGCCTCGTAGAGCAGCACGCGCACGATATCGGGGTGGAATTCCCTCTTCACGGCCATCTCCAGCGCCGTGGCGGACTCCACGAGGTCCGTGGCCTCGACGTTGACGTAGGCGTGGGCCTCGAAGGGCGCGGCCCCGTGCGGGTTCCGCAGCTGCGTGACGCTCGGCATCCGATTCAGCGTCGGCAGCGAGGCCGAGGAGCCGCCGCTCCCCCCTTTGGAGTGGCCGCCGCCCAAAAACGACAGCCCCGTGCTGGACAGCGAGGCCCCCGAGGGGGGATGGCGCTGCGGGAGCGAGGGCCGCCGCCGGGCGCGGAAGAGCCCCCCGCCGCCCTCGCCCCGGGCCTTCCCGGCGAC